CAATTCCTACCTTATCCTTCCGTTTCAAGAGTCTGGTCACTGTCTCTAATGAGGTAGTGTTGCTATCAATCTTCTTCTCAAGATGGACACGGTATACCATGATAGACTGTAGAATGCAAGCTCGCTGCCTGCTTCTTCGTAGTGAAATTTCTGCCTGAGTTCTTCCATTATTCTCTCTTATTTTTCTTGCACTTCTTCTTGTCTTCGAAATTCCTCAATTTTCCTTCTTTCTTCTCTTAACGTATTTTCAAGTTGCCTAACGTTTTCCCCCATTATCTCTACAGGCAGCTGTGGTTCCTTTCTTTCCTCTCTTTCTTCTTTCTTCTCTTCTCTTTTCTTCCTTTCCTGGTCCGTCTTGTCTAGATTCTCGGCGACATACCGGTCAAGGGCCATTCGACCTTGCTTTATGTGGTCCTCGACTCTCTTACCGGTCTCCATCATCTGAACAGCTGTGGCTCTCAGTTCATCTTCTGCAGCACGCAGATTGAACTGGCCGCGAACCAGCCGTTCAATTTATGAACCGGCGCCGCACCGAGAAGCTGGTGGAGAAGGCTGATCAAAGTCTGCCTTCTCGCATCAATTTGACCACGAGTCTTTAGTTCCCCTCCTTTATCGGCATAGACGGTGAGAGGGATAGGGAAGAAGAAGAGAGGTATGAAACGTGTGAGAATAGAGGCACGCAGACATTTCCAGAGATAAGTCATTTTCCCCAGCATGTAAATGCCGCACAATAAATAAAATTACAAGACAAAAATAAATTCCACGGCACACGCAAATCCTACAGCAAGAAATAATAGAGGCAGATAAAAAGAAACAGGTTCTCAGTTGATTCTCAAATCTAACTTTGCTGTCGGTTCTATGTGTGATGACATCCTACAGCAAGTGTACAGGTACCGCAGCCACGGCCAATGTGATCAAGACAACAGCACACTTGTGAGTATGCACAGCAACCACAGAACAACCAACAGGTGAGTAGGTCAGCCAACACCACAACTATAATCAATTGTTAGCTTCCTTTCTCTATGGCTGTACCATCTGCAGAAACAATGCAACCAAACACAAGGGCCAGCACACGACACTACAACAAATTGTGAAGCCGTATCGTCTGCCAGCATACAAGTGCACAATGAATACTTCTTCCACAGCAGTACGTTATGCATGCCACGTGTCACCCCTGGAATGCCAACACAGCAGCTCTAGGGAGTCTGCCACGTCAACATCAAGGACCTGAAAGGTGTACGAGGGGGGGATGCTACGTCAGCAATGCATGTCTGCAACACACAACACTGGCATGCCATGTCAGTGCTTCATCAGCAGGCAATTGCAACACAGGTACATGCCACGTCAGACTATGCGCTGTCAGAATGCCACATCAGCATTCCACGTCATGCCACATAGGCAGTTGGCCACATCAGCGGTCCCAGTCTCACACTTTCTCTCTCTGGACCAGCGCCACGTCAGCCTGTTGCCAACGAAGTTCTCGCCGGAATCTCGAAGTCTTCAGTGTAGCCACGTCATCACCTTCAAGGGAGGCTGCACGCATGTGCGACACTCAATGTCTAGACCTGCGGTATTGACCACGCGCGTTAATAAATGCGTTCCATCCTGCACATGCGGCACCTCCCACTTACCTGGCTGCCACGTCAGCACCTGACAGCAGATTGCGATGAAGGAGTAAGCTTTGATACCAAAATGTAATGAACCCATACAGGAAGATACTCAACAGATGTCGAAGCACCAGTAGACTCAGATCTGCAATGTCTCCAGTTAACGTGAACTGATCTCTGAAACAATATCTCGTTACCAAAGACGAAGAGAGTGGAGGGAGAATAGACAGAGGAGAAGGTGGAAGAGATAATCAATGAGCACAGAAGAGTAGCCCAATCAAACCCCTCTTCTTCTCCTGGGTTCCTCTCGCCTCCACATCATCAACGAATATACGATATAAGTTCTGATCACACAGAAGTGCCACGTGGCACTCTTATCTCGTGGAGATCATGAAGACATCAGCAGCATACGGTAACGACGTCAACCTCAGGTGAGTACCAGATCCCAATCATCCACAGATCCCGATCTCCCTCCTTGTTGCAACCAGTCACCACATGTGGATAGCGTGCCCTATGCCACGTCATTAATAGAGACAGGTGGCATGCGCCTCACCAACAATGAAGACAGGTGGCAGCACCACATCAGCAATGCAATGTAGTGAGATGGCAGCGCCACATCAATAATGCAGACAAGTGGCATGTGCCACATCAGCAATGTAGACAAATGGCATGCGCCACTCCAGCAATGTAGACAGGTGGCATGCGCCACATCAGCAAGGTAGACAGGTGGCAGCGCCACATCAGCAATGCCTGGCGCTCAGAACAGAAAGCGACAGCATGCTGCCACAGTCCCACGTCGTCGTCCACAGTGCGTGCGCGCAGCCAGCGTCAAGCCAGCATCTTGCCAGCGTCAATGCCAGTGTCCAGTCAGAGTCCAGCCAGTGTCAAAGCAGCATAGCAAGACTGAATGTTGACCACCCGGAGACCCAGCCTTATGTAGCATTTGGCGAGGCTGTCTGGCCTCAGGTCCCCTTTCCGCGGTCGTGCAGATTTACTCACAGCCGAGGGCCTGGATTGTACAGTCGCAGATTTCCCCTTGGTCCTGATGCTGTCTGGGTACCTGCATACAAACGAGTATGTGTGTCTGACCGGCGACCTGGGCCGGGTGAAATTTGTCTTTGACTGTTGACTTGGTCAACTGTCACACGTTCAGGCCCTGAACGTTTACGCTGGGTTCTTTTCCCCCCTTTGGCCTGGGTCTGAGTGCGGCCTGCAATCAGACTCGTCTCATTCACACTTTTCATGCGTGTAAGCAGCAGCACAGCAAACTGGCGACATGCGCCCACACAGAACTCAGAGATATGGCGTCCAGATAAGAGTTCGCTTCCACTGGCTATGGCGACTCAGCGCCCAAACAACTCACTGTTCACACACCGGATCACCCTGGATATCCCACACGCATCACTCTGAACACTCACACAACACACACACACCAGCTACAGCTATGGCAGCTATGGCTGCCTCTACGCTATCGCT